TTATGGAGTTGATCGAGCCGGGAAGATGCAGCAGCTGGTTTGTGATTGAAGTTTGATTTTGATGGGTCAACTTCTTTTAACTAAGCTCTAAGTCACCTATTAGCTGTTGGTTCTCTTGTTCACATCGACAGCCTCCCTGCGGGCTCTGCGTCTCTCATCTTTGAACTCTCATGTTGACACTGAACCTGAAAGGTTCATTAAAAAACAAAAGCTCTACTAATAAATAATATTATAAGAAGAAGGAAACCAAATTATGTAAAATTAAAATATATGGATTAAATCCGAAATTAAACCGAAAAAGCCTTCATGGAACTAGGCCTGTGTTGCAGGCTAAAAGAAGCTTGGTTTTTTTTTTTTCCTTTCAATTTTGGAGTCTTTTCACGCGAACATATGACAAGCTTTTGAACCTTTCAAAGAAATTCTTCGAATAATTAATGTTGGATTGCTAAATGGTTTTCATTTTGATTTTTCAGAAAATCCAATACTACGAAAAATAAAGTGGCATATATTTCATCGTAGAAGTTGCAGGTAATATCTAATGTAAACAGCTGTTACGAGTTACAACATCACTGCCTCTGAAATTAGCTTACAATAAAGGCAGTTGAAAGAACAATTGCATAGCAAAGAAGAGCACAAACTGTTATAATACAAGAATTATTCTGTCCATCGGTTCTGAAAACTTAAGATTCTAATCTTCCTTGGGTTTTTTTATATTTTCATGTCACAATTATGCTTAAAATATAATGCAAAAATGTCACTCTTAATTAGTTGATGAAACAATCTCCTTCAAGTTGGAAAATGAATATGCCTAGTTACAACTACAACTTCAACCATTCCACTATTCCAGGCAAGGACACAAGCCCCAACAAAACCTCCTTCAAGTACACTTCCCGGCTTAATCCAACGATGTAAAAGCCGAAAGATTTACGATGATGAGACATGTCACAGGTGACATCAGAAGAGAACGAGTTGAGGAAGAAAGATTCGGCAAAGAATGCCGGAGTGTACCTACGCGTTGCTCAATTGAATCCCTTTGGCCCTACGGAAATTCTCGTTCAGAACCGATGCTGCTCCACTTCTTATGCTTACTTTTCGAGTTATAAGTGTCTTCCTAACAATAAAAAGGGTCATTCCATAATCAAAGATGCTCCAAGCACATACCAGTCTAAACATGAAGATGGAAGAGTTTTGTATGTTGTGTCATATAGCATCTGATTTTGCCTATAATTGCCCATTGGGTCCACTGCAACACTCGGGAGCAAAGAGAAAAGGTTAAATTGTGTTCTAGGTTCAAACTTAGTTGATTTTCATTAGAAATGTAACGTATTGTATCACCGTACGAACCAAACAATTGATGGTTAACTACTAAAATTATAAAAATAAAGAAATAATGTCATGTTAAATTAAAGTTTTAACATAATAAAGGGATCAAAACTCAAATGTAACCGAAGAAAAACCATTTCTGGGGTGAACACAGATCATTGGGTCAGGCTTGGCCTAAAAATGGGTACTCAAAAGGCCCAATGGTGAAAAGCCTATAATAATAAACATTTTTGCTCCATTCTAGGAAGCGAATGGCATACATTTACAAGGCGAAAGTGAAGAAGAACAGGTCTCATTATCGTTGTATTTGGGGAAAAGTAACAAGGCCTCATGGCAACAGTGGCGTTGTTCGTGCCAAGTTCAAGTCTGACCTCCCTCCTAAATCCATGGTAATTATACCAGTTTCAATCAACTTCACTCTTTTTTTTTATAACAATTTTGATTGGTTTTGGTGATTTGAGTTTCTTTGGTTGAATAGGGTGATAAAGTGAGAGTTTTCATGTATCCCAGCAACAGTTGAGGTAATTCTCACACTTCATGGAGTGCTGTAACACTGGAGGCCTTAGTAGGATGGAAACCAATGTCATTTTTGGGTCTTCTTTTTACATAAATTTTGCTGTTCTGTATTTGAGAGCTGTAACAACTGATGTTTATTCAACTTCGATTATTTCTTATGATAATGGGTATGGTTTATTTGTAGCAACGGTGTTTTTGATATTGGTCTAATTGTTGCTTCAAGAGGGTTTCGAGTGTGTTTCTCTTGTCAAGTATGCATACATAAATGTAATTTATTAGAAAAGTTTGAACAGTGATAGCAACGAGATAGATGGCAAACAATTATCAATATGGTAATTATCAATTGAACGGCTGTGGGCTGGGCTGGATGAAATTGAAATTTTATTATTTTTTGATAAATCACCCTATAGTCTTCCCTATTACACGAATGGATCTCTCACAAAGAATATTTAAAAGTTTCCTTCAATTTCAGAGATTAAAGATGTGCCAGCAATTCAATATGACATAAGTTAATTGATAATTAGCAAATGATAATCTCAAAAAAGGCTAATGATTGTACCATACCCTGATGGAATTAAAAAGGAAGATTAAAAATATGAGTCAACTCATTAGAATTTAAGGTGACAAAGATATATGTAAATAGAATATCAAACAAAATTAAAACAATGTCATGTAATCGTTGTCCATAATATCAGATGCAATGTACAAGAGATTATATGAATTATTCGCTTACGGGTTGATGTGACGTCTTAATTACTTATTTAACACATAATCTATATTGAATTGGAAAGTTAATTAAACGACAAATGGGTAATTATTTTAATTAAATTTTATCTATATACGCTGACAACCGAAGAGTGACAACAAATTTTAAATAGGTGATTGAAGTAATGGTAATATCTAAATGTGTGGGTCAAGATTTTGTCCAAAGTAAATTATAGACCCATCATAAATTTCATAATTGTATCAAGCAGTATGTCTTTTGATCAAAAGCTATCTTAGTGTCGGTCTATGTTTGGAATGGACTCATCCATTTCCTTAATTGCTTATATTTATCTTATCATGATTATATAAAACTCAACCCATTAATAGAGATTAGTCCACTAACCACGCTTGTATCCATAAATATAAGTAGGGATCGACTAGAATAATCTCCCCCAATAATCTCGTTGTTGATGATTCGAGCCTATATACCTGAAGAGTTGAGCCCTATCACGACCGTCCTTAGAAATGAGAATTTCGTAAAAATAACACATGGGACAAATGTGTTCTCTTATTCTACCTTTGGTGCAGAGACGAAGATGATTCTTTGAACTTTGTTATATGACTTAAAGGTGAATCCATCAAATAAAGATTTATTATTTTAATTTGGTATGAGTATTTAAAAGGTGCAGCACCCACCAGATTCATGAGCAGTTAAAAAAACATCATTGGGTACATGAACCACAAATCAAATTATCAGCAATGATTAGGTCTCCAATAATTAAGTTGTTACTGCCTGAACGATGGTGGAGTGAGAGTTAGCATCAACCAAGCACAGTGTCTTTTTCCCTTTCTTTGCATTTTCTGGCCAAGAAAATGGGGTACAATAACAAATATATGCAGAAATAAAAAAAAGTAAAACAGAGATTTTATTCAATAATCGTGTGAAGATTTCTTGAAGAGGTAGAGGTAGAGATTACTTGTACTGAGAAGAGTGGTAGAGATGATGGACAAATATTCAATGCAAAATGGCTTGCTGGTGATTAACAAGTAAATTTGTTGTCAACGCCTGATTTGACATTTGTTTCTCAAATGCATGAATGTGCTGACCCATTTCATGCCGTAATAAAATATCAATTTTTTTAATTATTTACATCACATATACATATCGTAAACGAGGTTATTTATATTTAGGAATTTCAAGAAAAACGTTCGCACCCTTGATTAATTCAGATCGATTTATGTTGCGTATATGATTTTAGTGTATGAGCCTCTCTGTAAATGTTTTTTATATATATATAAAACCTCAAATTCAAAATATACTTATTTTTTTTTTGTTTATATTAACATATAAATTTATATTTTAAGCATTTTGATAACATAACATTTTAAAAGTGCGTCGTATGACATAAAATTAAAATGTTTTATCATTAACATAATTTGAAATAAAAAATTATCAATTTTAAGATTAATATTGACCAAAATAATTTTAAAGATTAAATCAAAGTATCATATTTACCCTTGACAAAATACCGATAGCATATAGAAAAGAAAATAAACACACAAATGATATAAATATTCACCTCTTTGTTTAGGAAAGAGATTTCGGGTTTGAATATCATATATGTTAGGGGTGTTCAATATCAAATGGTTGAAAGTTATATTTAAACATAAACTACATTGTACTTATCCTAAAATAATAATAATAAAATGATTTGAGCTAAATAAAATTTGATTTAATTAAATATTATTTTTTTAATTTTAAATTAGTGATTCAAATTTTAAATTTGAGTCAAAATTATATTTTAAAAATTCAAATGATAAAAAAATTGAATATTAAAACTACATTGTTTATAGACTTTCGTAGCTAAATAATTTAATTATTATATAATTTGATCTCTAGTTTATTGCTTCTTTGATTCGTTCTTTGTTTGAAAGTTATTTTTATTAAATTTGAACTACATGCACCTCAATAATAGAATATACATAAATTTCAAAATATCTTTTTGTTAATATTTTTTAATTTAATCTTTCAAATTTATATTTTATTCAATTTGATCATCTAACAACAACTATTTTATATTCACATCAATACTTCATCCTAAAAATATTTTATTTTAAAAAATAATATTATAAATATATAATATAATTTAAATGGTATTTAGTTTATTAATGGCATTATAAATCTTACACATGTCATATATATATATGATTAAAAAATTCATTTAAATTGAAACCAATTAGAACATAACATTATAAATGATTATAATTAAATTTAAATACAAATATATACTATTTGTCTCTACTCAAATTTTAAAATATTGATTATCATCAATTTTTTTTCATTCAGCCTTACTCGATCAAATTAATTCAACTGTAACTTTTTTAACTGAATTTAAGTCGACCGGATGAAGCCACTGACTTGTATATAAACACTTACCCTTTGCCTCCATCTTGAGAGTCCAACAAAGCAATCAAAGGAAGGAAATTGAAAGCTTCAGCATGCCTTCTTCTTCAACTACTCTTGTTTCTAAGTGCACCATTTTCCCAGACCGAAAATCCGACATCAATACCTTAAAGCTCTCAGTTTCAGACATCCCCATGCTCTCCTGTCACTATATCCAAAAAGGGGTCCTCTTTAATTCCCCTCCTTTCTCCTTCCACGACCTCCTAATTTTCCTCAAGCAATCTCTTTCCGCCACCCTCTCCTACTTCCCTCCGTTATCCGGTCGTCTTACCACCGACTCCGACGGTCACGTCCACATCGCCTGCAACGATGCCGGCATAGACTTTCTGGAGGCCAAAGCTCCTCAACTTTCCATCAAACACATTTTGCCTCCCGGAGAAGATGTCCCCGATTTTGTCAAGGAGTTCTTCACCTACGACAACACGATTAGTTACTTGGGTCATTCCATGCCGTTGGCGGCGGTTCAGGTGACGGAGTTAATGGACGGGGTTTTTATTGGGTGCACGGTGAACCATGCCGTGACTGACGGGACTTCGTTGTGGCACTTTTTCAACACCTTCGCTGAGATTACTAAAGGAGCTTCAAAAATATCAAAATCCCCCGATTTCTGCCGGAACACTGTGTTTAATTCTCAAGCCGTGTTGAAATTCCCTCCCGGCGGACCCACGGTTACTTTCGCCACCGACGAGCCGTTGAGGGAAAGGATTATCCATTTTAGCAGAGAAGCCATTTTAAAACTTAAATACAGAGCTAATTATGGTTGCTTATTAACTAAACAAACCAATAATAATACCCAGGTTTTAGGGAACCTCGGTAACAACAAGGTGAATAACAGTAACTCAGAGATTTCGTCTTTCCAGTCGCTTTGTGCTCAGCTATGGAGGTCGGTGACGCGCGCCAGGAAATTGGAGCCGACCAAGACGACGACGTTCAGGATGGCGGTGAACTGTCGACACAGGCTGGACCCAAAGTTGGAGCCGTTCTACTTCGGGAATGCGATTCAGAGTATCCCGACATATGCTGAAGCCGGTGAGCTCCTGGCTAAGGACTTGAGCTGGGGCGCCCATCTGCTACACAAAAACGTGATAGCGCACGACGACGGCACGGTGCGTAGAGGAGTAGCGGATTGGGAGGAGCAACCACGGCTGTTTCCTTTGGGTAACTTGGACGGTGCGTCGATCACGATGGGAAGTTCTCCTAGGTTTCCAATGTACAATAATGATTTTGGGTGGGGGCAGCCTTTGGCGGTGAGGAGTGGTAGGGCCAACAAGTTCGACGGCAAGATTTCGGCGTTTCCGGGGAGAGAAGGGAATGGGAGCGTTGACTTGGAGGTTGTTTTGGCGCCGGAAACAATGGCGGGGCTTGAGAATGACGTCGAGATTATGCAGTACGTATCCGAGGTCGAGTGAGTGCGTACGGTGTATTTGAAGAGGGAAACAAATTGTCTCCTAGCCTGGGTGGCCGTATGATTACATATCTTGGGGTGATCTTTGGACAGTTTTGATTTCATTTACCACGTGAAAAAAAAATCACATTTCAGTTTATATTTCTTTTTTCAGTCACGTCAATTTAGTTAAATATCTTTTGTTAATTTCATCTTTAATTGTTTCATGGATTAAATTACCATGACCATGTTTTCCGAAAGCTTATTTCAAGTTTATTTTCTCTTCTCCTATGGATTTTCAATAGGATGAAATTGTGATCTTAATTATTTTCATATGTTCATGTGTAAAACCCAATAAGAACTTAATCAAACTATTTAGTAATAATATCCATTCTGAAACAAACAGGCCAAATTTGTGCATGTGATCCAGCAGTGTTTATGCTCATCATCATCACCATGAATGAGCAAAGATATCGAGACATGTCACCCAGTCTTTACTATGGATCTGATGTCTGAATCCCGTGACGCTTGAACAACTCTCTAAATCCATAACCACTGAGATCATAATTGAACTGGATACAATAGATGTAACAACAGAAATAGATGAGAATTTCATATGATAACAATAATAAACACACGCGAATAAATAACACTGCTTCCGAAAAACATAGTCAACTTCATTTTTACCAACAATTAAATACAACCATGGTTATGAAATTCTACATCTTTCATTTTCCAGAAATAACACCCATATTGCTATGAATCCATCCGACTGATAAATGAAGTGAACGATGATCCTATATAAGCAGCATGAAACTACTACAACATATGGATCTTTGCTTGCAGTATCTATAGGTATACATAAGCAGCATGAATATTTGGAAGTTATCAAAACTAAAATTGCAGAGGGAAGCATATTGAGCAGAGCAAAAAATTCAAGAGCAGGTGAAGGCACTGATGATGCTAATGAATTATAGGGGAAAAGGGCTCCAAAACTCACAGGTACAACTTTTACGGAATATCTTGCGACATTTAGATCAGCAACCTTTCCTTTGGTTGCTGCCTGCAATAGAATTTCTTATTAAATAATAACACAGAAAATTGGCCATTAAATAACAAGATTTTTCAACATCAATATCTCCATGAGTTGAACAATATACAACATCCGCAAACTTTCATGCATAAACACTAATGTTATTACAAATAATATACTCCAACATATACTGCAATAAAAGCTATGGCCTAAAACATATTCTATGCATTGTAGATTAACTTATGGTATAACAACGTTAAGACAGAGAAATATATAGGAACTACTTTTTCCGTTCACTTGGAAAACAGGAACAGTACTTGTTTATCTAATTCTTTCCCTTGATTTTTTTTTCTTCTATATTTTATTTCACCCGATAAGTTATTTGTGTCGATCATGATTTGCAAGGCTGCGAAGCTGGCAAATTTTCATGCAAAACCTTCATAAGCAATGATCTTTGGAGGAGCAAACCAAAATGATTTGACTATGTGCTCTGATTCTAAAAGAGCCTACAGTTTAAGAAATCATAACTGAATCAAAAGTAGCAAGAAGCAAACATTCTTCAGGTGTTCACAGTTTTAGCAACTGTTAGGTTATACACGCTATACAAAAAACATGCCATCCTTGAACAACTCCAAACTAGTCAAACATTAACTTCTGTATGGCAGTGTATGCTTTAACCGTTTAATGGCAAATGTTTACTGTTGCGGAAGACGGCTATCGGATAGAGCAAAATCGCAACTGATAATTTGAGAAAATAAAAATGAAGATAAAGAAGACACAAAATTTACGTGGAAAACCCCTAAATAATATAGGGTAAAAAACCACGGGCAACGGTAGAAGAATTTCACTATGAGAAAATAGGAATTACAACTTCTCTCGATCGACCAAGGAGAAAACAATGACAATTCTCTCTTGATAAAAAGGAGAAAACAACTATCAATAAACTCTCTAAATTTTCTATAGTATTGGAAGAAAGCTATAATACTTTGGGATGATTTTGAAGCTAAATGAGCTAGGGTATTTATAGTAGAAACTTAAGGACTAATCTTATAAATACCATAAAGTCTAGGGACTAAAAGATTTTATCATTTTTGTTTTCAACAAAAACTGCCATAATAATTTTGTTTGACAATTGCACCATAATTTTTCAACAATTTGGCAGCAAACTTTGAATCAAATTCAGCCGCCCCATGCGGCCCCATTTAATGCTTTGACTTTTCAACAATCTCTCACTTGAAGATTTGATTTGAACAATCATATCTTCACACCATTCTTTCTACCTTGTACCTTCATGTTGCTTACGTTTCTGACAGGCCACATGAGGATCGACACCACATAAATTTATCAGCGTTGATCGCTTTCGTCATGAAATCTGCTATGTTGTCTTTGGTATGGATCTTCTGCATATCTACTGTCCCTTCTTCCACCTTTTCACGAATGAAGTGGTACTGAACTCGTATGTGCTTTGTCCTTGAATGAAATGCTGGATTCCTTGCTAGATGCATGGCGCTTTGACTGTCACAAAACAGAGAGACATACTCTTGATTGTGCCCAAGCTCCTCCAATAGCATCTTCAACCAAATTGCTTCTTTACTGGCTTGTGTAGCTGCTACATATTCTGCTTATGTTGTGGATGTAACTACAACTGACTGCAATTTTGAAACCCAGCTTACAGCTCCACCAGCAACTTTGAACACATATCATGTAGTAGATTTGCTTTTATCCAAATCCCCTGCATAGTCAGAATCAACATACCCATTGATAAGTAAGTTTGATCCTCCGTAACATAATACAACATTTGAGGTCCCTTTGATGTATCTCATGATCCTCTTTATTATATTCCAATGCTCTTTTCTTGGATTCTCCATGTACCGACTAACCACTCTCACTGCTTGTGTAATGTCTGGTCTTGTGCATATCATAGCGAACATTAAACTTCCCACTGCTAATGCATACGGTACTCGAGACATCTCCATCCTCTCTTCTTCACTGCTAGGACTCATACTGGAGGATAATTTGAAGTTAATAGGAAGAGGGGTAGAAATTGGCTTACAATCTTGCATGTTGAATCGTGATAATATCTTCTTCAAGTAATTCTTTTGTGAAAGCCAAATCTTCCTATTCCTTCTGTCTCGGTGAATTTGCATCCCTAGAATCTTGTTTGCTGATCCCAAGTCCTTCATTTCAAATTCCCTAGCCAGTTGTGCCTTCAATTCTTCAATATGATCTTTGTTGGGTCCTGCAACCAACATGTCATCCACACACAACATCAATATAACAAAATCGTTATCACCAGACCTCTTGAAATAAGCACAAGGGTCTGCATTAAGTCTGTTGTATCCAATGCACATAATGAAGGAATCAAATCTCTTATACCAACACCTCGGTGCCTGCTTTAGACCGTACAGAGATTTGTTCAACCTGCAAACCAAGTTCTTCTTTTCTTTTTCTTCAAAACCTTCAGGCTGGAGCATATAAATCTCTTCTTCAAGATTTCCATGAAGAAAAGTTGTTTTAACATCTAGTTGCTCTAGATGTAAGTTCAATGTAGCACACATTGCCAAAACTACTCGAACTGTTGTTAGTCGAACCACAGGAGAAAAAATTTCATTAAAATCAATACCTTATTTTTGAGCATATCCTTTGACCACCAGTCTTGCACGATACCTCTCAACTTGATCATCACCATTTTACTTGATTTTGAAGACCCATTTGTTACCAATTGGCTTCCTTCCTTGTGGTAGTGGCACAAGGTCCCATGTATTATTTTTATAAAGGGCTTCGATTTCTTCTTGCATCGCCATCATTCACAGTGAAGCATCTGAGCTGTTTATTGCCTCCTGGTATGTTGATGGATCACCGTCCTCTGTTAAAAGGCAGTATGCAATATTACCTTCTATAACATAATCTGAGTGCCAATTGGGATGCCTTCTCACACGATCTGATTGACGAGTTGTTGGAGCTTCAGAACTCTCTGGTTCTTGTTCATCATGTGCTGGTTCTGCTTCAGAAGAATCTCCTTGTTTAACCTCATTTTCCACATATATCTGTGTAGTCTCTGACTTTTCAGTGCTATCATTGTCTTCTTTTTTTTGTAGTTTATCTTCTACAAATATATCATCCCTGTTGATGATCACTTTGCGGGCAGTGGGATCCCACAAACGATACCCCTTGACTCCATCAGCATACCCTAAGAATTTGCATTTCCTGGATTTTGGATCCAGCTTTGAGATTTCTTGGGAGTTGTACATCACGTACACAATACTTCCAAATACATAGAGGTTTGAATAATCAGCTGGTTTACCAGTCCACGTCTCCATTGTTGTCTTCAACTCTATTGCAGTTGATGGAGCTCGATTCACCAAATAACAAGTGGTATTGACTGCTTCTACCCAGAATAATTTTTCTAGGTCTGTATCCTTCAACATTGCTCTTGTTCTTTCTAACAAGGTTTTGTTCATCCGCTCTGCCACTCCATTTTGTTGAGGAGTGTTCGCCACTGTGAACTGTCTTTTGATGCCTTCTTTCCTGCAAAAGTCATCAAATTATTCGCTTGTGTATTCTCCTCCATTATCTGTTCTGAAACACTTGATCTTATTTTCAGAATCAAGTTCCACCCGCGCTTTGAAGTTTTTGAAAGTGGAAAACACATCTGACTTCTTCTTAATAGGATACATCAAACATCTCCTGGAGTAGTCATCAATAAATGAGACAAAGTATTTTGCTCCGCCTAGGGATGTAACTGGTGCTTGCCATACGTCAGAGTGAACCAATTCTAGAACACTTTTGCCTCTAGAATTTGATGTGTTGAATTTCAACGTGTGCTGCTTACTTGTTATGCAATGCTCACACAAAGGAAGTGATACCTTTGTTAAGCTTGGAAGTAGCTTTTGCTCCACAAGGACTTTCATTCCTTGTTCTGACATTTGTCCAAGTTTCTGATGCCATAGCATTGTCGAATCTGAACTACATGAGGCAACAGAGGTTTCTGCTTCTACCAAAGTCTCTCTCTTCAGCATGTACAAGTTTGCAGCTATTTTTTGCCTTTCAGCACCACAAGCGCTCCACGGAACACCTTCATGATTCATTTCCGTGTTTCAATCTTGCTTGCATTATTATCCAACAATCCGTAGGATAATAAATTTTTCTTCAGGCATTTCACGTGCCGCACATCTCGAACAACTTTAATTGTTCTGTCATACATCTTTAATTTGATGGTTCCCACGCCAACGATCTCTAAGGCATGATCATTGCAACTATAAACAGATCCTCCTGAGACAGGTTCATAATGATGGAACCATTCTCTTCTTGAGGTCATGTGATATGTTGCTCCCGAATCAATGAGCTATATATATGCAAATCGTTTTCTTCCTTTCACGGTGGTTGACGCTTCACAGCATAGAGCATCTCCATCATCTGAAGTGTTTGCGGCATTGCCTTGTGGATTGGAGTTTTTATTTAGACTCCAACAATCATTCTTCAAGTGACCCTTCTTTCCACAGTTGTAACACTTTAAATTCTTCTTGCTCCTCAACTTCGATCTACCATGTTTGTGATTGCTGCTTTGGCCACGTTTCGTTGATCTCCCTCTCATCGTTGTCATCGTTGTCAATGCTTCTGCTTGTTGCAGATTTACTTGTCTGTCTTCCTTGTTCTTGCACCGATTTTCTTCTTGTAGAACAACAGCTGCAACGTCATCGAAGACTATACTGGTGACATTACTATTTGTCAAGTTGATGATGAGTTGATCATACGAATCCGGTAGACTTTGAAGTAAAAGTTCAGCACGTTCTTGTTCTCCTATTTTACAGCTTAAGGATGTAAGTTTAGAAAATAAAGTGTTCAGCGTGTTTAAGTGCTCTGTCACTGAAGTAGATTCTGGCATCTGGAGAGTGTACAATTTCCTCTTAAGGAAAATTTTATTGTGCAGCGATGTGGCCTCATACAATTTGGTGAGATGATCCCATATCTCCTTAGCTGTCTTCTTCTCCTCGATGCTTGACAATACTTCATCTGCTAATATTAGATGAAAGTTTGCCATAGCATTCCCGTCCATTTCGATCCATTTGTTGTCATATGTGAAATCCACCGTCCTTTCACTGATAGCTGCTAGACAACCGTCTTTCCTCAGGATGGCCTTCATCTTCAATTTCCACAATGAGAAATTTCTCCCTTTGAATTTTTCAATATCAAATTTCGTTGTCATAGCTTCTTTTACGGATAGCTCCCACTATTTCACTATCGTGAATAGTTCTTTGGAACCTTCAAAGAATGAGTAATAACTTCTTATTTTCTTATGTTGGAGGATCCACCTTTTGGTGGCAACCACAAAGACAATAAGCAGATATTACACACTCTAATCTAGCTCTAATACCAATTGTTGTGGAAGACGGCTATTGGATAGAGCAAAATCGCAACTGATAATTTGAGAAAATAAAAATGAAGATAAAGAAGACACAAAATTTACGTGGAAAACCCCTAAATAATATAGGGTAAAAAACCACGGGCAACGGTAGAAGAATTTCACTATGAAAAAATAGGAATTACAACTTCTCTCGATCGACCAAGGAGAAAACAATGATAATTCTCTCTTGATAAAAAAGAGAAAACAACTCTCAAGAAACTCTCTAAATTCTCTCTAGTATTACAAGAAAGCTAGAATGCTTTGGGATGATTTTGAAGCTAAATGAGCTAGGGTATTTATAGTTGAAACTTAAGGACTAATCTTATAAATACCCTAAAGTCTAGGGACTAAAGTTTGTGATTTTATCATTTTTGTTTTCAACAAAAACTGCCGTAATAATTTTGTTTCACAATTGCACCATAATTTTTCAACAATTTGACAGCAAACTTTGAATCAAATTGAACCGCCCCATGCCGCCCCATTTAATGCTTTGACTTTTCAACATTTACAACACAATAAAGCAAGCAAATAGCAAGGCAAAGGAGAAAAAGGAAATAAAGAGGAGTAGCATACTTGCTCTGAACTATGAAATATTTCAATGAATGGGTATTCATTTGTCTGCCGTGTTATACAAAATCCTGGATATTTTGGGCACTCAACCTGGAAGAGAATAACACAAGAAATTAGGATGTGAGTGTAAGAAAAGAACAAAGAAACTAAGCTTATAGTAAGTTAGCACAAATACGATCACCATATCAGAGACACCACTACACAAATTAGGGCTGTCCTATGGTGCAATGGTAGTTTGCATAAAAGCTTTATAGGTATGGGAACGATAAGGCGACATAAGAACCTCCCATGTCATCATCCCATCCCCTGTTCCCCAAGGTTGAGATTCAAGGGCTAAAATTTGAAAGTAGCAGGATATCCGCATTGGTCAGACAAGTGTTCAGCCACTTTTAAAACTAGAAATGCTGAAAGAATAGAAGCGTATACTCTCTCATACTAGAAAAAATCCACTCTACAACTATGCTATGTTGAGACTGTAAAATGTAATGAGTAATGACCCTTTTTGTTTAGACATTATCAGAAGAAGAAGAAGAAGAAGAAGAAGAAGAAGAAGAAGAAAATTACTCGCATAAATTTAACATTTTGATAGAACTCTACAGCAGCTTCCTCTAGTACTTTGTCAAGATGCTTTGTGTAGTTTCCCCTGCATTGTCAAAATAAAGACATAAAGGGTGAGCTAGAATAAGAGGAGTATACATATAAGGGAAGTATAAATATAGTGAATGCAACAACAACTGGATGACCTTGATGAAGCAGCTGCACGAATTCACGCTCGGATGTGAAATGAATAACCCGTGATGGCCCAAGATCTTTGGGATAACCATTATAATACCTTCAAGTTTAACATATAAAAAAGATAAACACAAATGCTTTAACAGGCAACATTCATATCAATACAAAAATATTTGATAGAAAAGAAAGGAAAAAGAGGAAGTGTTATTTGAAGAAATGTAAAATTTAATTAGAATTTGCAAGAACAAAAGATGAACGAAAAATGATCTTACTTGCAAGTTGAACGGAGATGACTGATCAGTCTATAAAAAAAAGATTGCTCCTCCATTTTTGAACACAGCAGGGTGAATCTGAATCAATAAACCAAGTATTAAAATGCTAGAAATGAGGGTTTCAGATAGCAGGGCGTAGCAGTGTATCGGCCGCTATTTCACGGTAATGGTGCCATCCATTGCCTCTAAAGATCTCAATAGAAGTGTGAACAAATTTCACATCAATAGCAGTGGATCTTGGATGTAGGTAGCAGTGTAACAAAAAATAGCAGTGATAATGGTGTTGCTATTTCCGCTAACAGATAGCTTTGGGAAAAAATGGATGAGTCAGAGTAACAAGCAATAGAATCGAAAACAGCAAAAAAAAAATATAACAGAGTGATGCAGAGGTGGAGAGCAGATAACTCAATATCTCTCTCATGACTCAAGTAGACACATTCAAGTTAAATGCAGGGATTAAAAAAATACCGTATGTAATTATCATCATCCTGCAGCCGCATGCAAAAGATGTATCAATGTCCCAAGTTCTAAATAAAAACAATTTTTGACTGGAAACCTCTTGAGTTTATGTAATAGGAACGACATGGACTTTTGAAATATACAGCATCTCAGGCACTTCTATAAGCCGTAATCTATCAAACAAGGGTATCTTTATTACCTAACAGATACTCGAGAATATCTTCGTCTTGATATTTTGGATATAGTAGTTATTTGGTAGGAGTCTTTCAACAATTGAACCCCAATCATTTTGAAAATGGAGAGGCTTTTTAGCTTCAACTTCCTTTTTTACAAGTGTTGATGCTTTGCTTTGTTTATAGTGAAATAGTTTAGTTTATTCAACTTTTGAATAATAAAATGTTGGTAAGAGAATGCTGCTATTAAAGCTAAAGTGACGAGTTATTGAGAGATACATGGCTTATCTGTTCTTTTATCTTGGTTTAAGCACTCATTTCTTTGCATCCTACTGTAATTTTCAATTGTCAATTGGACTCTATGTTACTCGGGCTTGGATGTGAGTGTCAGGTATGGTATGAATCCGACATGGCATGATTAGATTTTTCCTAGGTTCTTTATGTATTTGGAGGATTCTTGAAGGTCTTATCCCTATATTCAGGTGTCCAATACGAATGTCATACATGGATATAAAATGTAAAATGAAAAGTCCGAGCAGCATAGATTGGATAGCATATATTAAGATGTTGACCTGTCCGCGTATGTTATACTTTGATGCTGTATTGCCATATTCTTTTGTTTTAATTTTCAAGAAGGTTCCCAGGTAGTTAATTGATAATGATGTTACTGCATTTTGCATAAGTTATATTACCACAACATGACATGTGAATCTTATGTTCAGTTCCCTAAAGTTTTTACCTTGATTATCCCACAATAGTATATTTCATTCCTTTTATGCCTCTTATACATTTTAAACACCAGTAGAGTTAATCTGTTACTATGTGTGGCGATTGAATTTCAAGCTTGAGCTATCTTTTGAAGCATTGATTGAACTCAGTGTGGAAAATTTTGATAGTCTTTGCAGGAATCCTGTGGTGATGCAAAAGCATTGCAATGGCAGCAATGATATGTGCAAAAGATGATCCAAGTCAAATCCAGTCCTTCCATGCAGTGGGGATGTAGTTTTATATGCCTAAACTGTTCACCATCTGAATGTTTCATAATCTACAGTTGGAACTTTTAAGATTGCTCTGCATTCTGCAACCATGGTAAGTGTAATATTTCATTGATCAGTCTCTTCTCAAACTTCACCTGCATTTTCAGGTGGAATATATTGGTCTTATGCTTTCAAGTGCCTTTTGTGGGGTTCACTTCATCTTTTGCATTTTGAATATATTGCTTCTCCACCTCTTGTACACAGCAATCGCATACTCAATGCATAGGTGGTTTCAATCACATTAAATTATTGGCATATATACTTTCATTAAGAAATTAAAAAATTTTACAAAGTAATATTATTTCACTAAAACTAATTCGTTTATTCTACCGATTCAAGAATTTGATATTTTTATTGATGCCTTCATGTCAGAAATTTATACTCTAATAAAAATAATTAAGCTATACGTAAGATTATTAATATTAATTTAACAGTTAAAATAAAAACATCTATTTAATTGGTTAAAAAGTAATATTAATGAATATGGTTAGACGAAAAGTATTATCAAATTTGTAATGGATCGAATTTGGAAAACTGGAAGAGTAAACACCAATATCCCTTTTCTAAATATACTTTAGGATAAATTATATAAATGATTACTAAAGTATGAGTAAATTTTTGTTTTCAACACTAAAGTTTCAAAAGTAATAAAACTGTCACTAACATTATCTTTTTGTAACAAATTAGTCTCTTAGTCTTTAATAGTCGTTATCATAGTTACAAAAGTTTGTTGTGACACGTTTAGACGTCAGCGTTGGCACAATTAGACTACGTTGGCACCTTTTGACCATCTCTTCTGATAATTACTTGAAAATCACAAATCCCTTAAGAAAAAAGAAAAGTTAGATAAGTCACGGACGAGGAGGATGATAGCTAGAGAAGTGATAGTCAGGGATGTCAGAGAAAAGGTGCTTCAAAAGTGTCGGAGGATGGTCAAAAGGTGTCAACATGGTCAGATAGTGCCAACTCAACAACTCAAACATGCCACAACATATTTTTCTGAATGCAGTGACCGCTATTAATAATCGAATGATCGATTTTTTATAAAACAATAACGTTAGTGATTGTTTTATTACATTTAAAATTTTGATATTGAAAATATATACTTACTATACGTTAATGACCATTTATATAGTTTACCCTATACTTTAAGATAACTTAAGGGGCTAAACACAAACATGCCCTTCACATGACCCTTCGGTCCTGTCATTGTTACGTAAGTACCATCAAGAGTTGTATTGTCTGGGTATATCAAATAAAGCTATATTCATATAGTGCCCAAATAACAGACTAAATAACGTCGAGGAACACGTGAAACTCGCTTGTACTTAAATGTTTCACCTAAATTCAACTACTGTCTATTTCATTAGCGGTTGCATTTTTACTTCGAAGATAACAAGTAGAAGAAGAAAAAAACATAGAGGCAATTTCAATTAACAAGAGCAACCCATACATATATCGATCTGCTGGTTTATTTATTTTTCACATAAATATATAACATTTAGAACATCAAATAAGCTGATCAAAAGCATCTGGGACCGGAGAGAATGATTAATTATTTAAATGCAAGTGTTTAATCTCACACTTACTATGGGGTATTGAATTTCAAGGACTCGAGGCGTTTTTTGCCACAAGGACCCTTCATCCTCATATGAACCCTGTAGTGATCAAATGTCATGGCTTCATACAGCGCCGGTCGCTCCTCACTCACCAGCTCCTCCGCTGCTTCTATCACTAAATCACTCTTGGGATTAAAGAACATGGCCAGGGAGACCCCATCTTTTGCCGAGTTCACCGTCACACGGTGATCCACGCTCTTGTATATTGCATTGCTCATCACCTGTATTAAATATACATGTATACAATGAATTGAATACCAATAGTTATAGAAAGAAAAAGAAACAACTAGAGGAACCTGGATCTGATCTCCAATGATGACAATCAAAGAATCAGGAACAGGATTCACGGTGATCCAATCACCATCGTTGAGCACTTGGAGTCGAGCAACGTCGCGATCGGGTAGGAGAATGGTGATGCCGCCGGGGTCGGAGTGTGAAGAAAGACCTAGAGTAAGCTCCGGCTGAGGACACTTTGGATAGAAATTCGCTCTAAAACAAGCCCCCATGTTATCTCCACCAAACGCATTCTCTATATACTCTTCCTTGAGTCCGAGATCTGTCGACATTGCTTTCAGAAGCGTTTTGCATAGTTTCACAACTTGACAACCATATTCCGCCACCACTTCCCTGAATCAAGATTCAACGGCTAAATTAATTCCATTCATTATAAGACATGGACCGTATGAAACATGTTGAACAAATAAAACACCTGCAACATGACGGCTGGTCGGGCCACTTGCTCTGGTTCCTCAAAGAAATCGGCAAGTAATGTAGGAAAAAGTAATCGCTCCAGTCGAGAACCGCTCCTTTCTCGACTCCCAGTCGACTACCGTACCCTTCGTAGGTGGTCGGCGCGTTGGCGTACTCTTGCTTCGCTTCGAGCGGCAAATTAAAGAAATCACGCCAGACCTGGCGCGCTCGACTCATCAGCTCGTGGCTAACACCGTGGTTCACCGCCTGGAAGAAACCCCAGTCTCGGCACGCGGCGGAGATACGATTCAGGGTGTCGAGGTGGAGGACTGGGTCTTTGCCGAACAGGTTGTGGAGATCAATGAGGGGAATATCGACATGTCGGTGAAACTGAGAACGTAGTTTTAAGACAGGCCTCTCGGTCAGAGGTTTAATATATTGGTTTGGAATTGCATGTATGCCACTTTCTGACAGAGACTGAACTCTAACCACTTGCTCGGGCCAACTCATCACTGCCGAAACAAAATGTCGAGGAAGACAGATTAATCCAGGATTAGATGCACGGCTAAATAGAGTTTGAGTGACAGGATTATATAGAGCAACTTAGGAGGGGAGCAATTTCCGCGCACATTAAAATTAATAATATGCAACAGTCAAACTACTTTAATGATCAAAAGAATTATTATTATTTTTTAAAATTTTAAATTAGAGTATCAAAAATTATAAGATTGTTAATTTTTTATTGTCAAATAATTAAAATTTTTAGAACATATAATATCTTGTAATCATCTTATATTAATAAAAAATTAATAATATGACATAAATTATAAAAATAAATAAATATATTTTAAAAATAAATTTTAAAATACAATACAAAAACAAAAATACTCATTCCATTTTACTAAACGTGTCTCTTTTAATTTTTAAATTATTTCATTCAAAATATATTTTTAGAAAAACTAACAAACAACAAAGTTTATATTTCCTTTTTTATTATCGTATGTCGTATTCTTTTATATTTTTCAAGATAAATCAATCAATCAATTTTCAAAGATAATTTTATCATTTATCTTAGTCAAATATATATATAATTTAATATATCTTTTAAAATTATGTATATAATTAATATAAGAGAAGTATAATCTAAAAGAGAAATAGTTGATTAAGGAAAGTTCTATAGTGCGACACCCTTAATATACAGTTTAAAAAAGGTGTTACCAGTTTTATTATTATTTAAATAATAAAATTAATAAAAAATTACTTAAAATATTTTTATTTATATCTAAAACATCAATATTTTTTAACCTAAAACACCTAATAATAACTAAACCGATAAAATAATAACAAAATTAATAACAATTTTTTAATCTTATATTAATTCTGCAGTGTGATTATTTCCCGTTTATTAAACTTTAGAGAAAGACGACAATTTTGGGGCGACAACTTTATCTGACGGCGTTGGCTAACTAATATATTGATTGGACAGCTATTGTACAAGTTTTTGTTCAATTTGTTTTGTCCCGCAGTTTCTTTGCATTATTTGATTTGATTGATTATACACAAATTCATGAATTGTATGTGCAAAGAGTTTATGCGTATCGGTTTGGATAGCTATGCCGACATCAGCCTCTAATATTTCACATTTTTGTGTGGCAAATTCCACGTTCTCAATGTCACATGCAACACTTTATTGTCCATTCCAACTGACATTTTTATAGGATAATTTATAAGTTTAGTCTCTTTTGTTTCAACTTTATCAAGTTTTAATTATATTTTTATAAATTAAATTTTAGTCACTTATATTATTAATTTATTATATTTTATTTATTTATTCATTAACTCTCGCTACTTTAATGATGTGATGCGTTAAAAATTATTTATTTTTAATTTAACTTATAAACTTTAAATAAAATTTAATTTAACCTTTAATTTTAGATAAAATATCAATTTAATTCAAAAGCCGACCATAGTCTTCCATACCTACCACCTCTTACCATCACAAATCTATTTATAACGAGATTTAATTTGTATTGAACCCATAATCTAAGAGAGTAAAAAATATATCGATTGAGAGTTTTTAACTACTTGTTATAGAGATATTTTTTTAATTTAACTAAATAGACAAGTTATTTAAATATTTTTATATTTAATATTTTTTTAATAATATAAGGTGATTGCAATATGGTATCTAATCGAACACACACCATATAGATGTAGTTGTTCGAACCCAAAACTTTTAGGGAATAACACTCCCTCTAACTACCAAGACGAGTATATATATTATAACATCACACATGAGAAAATATTAAATCAAAATCAAATTATTATAAATAATTATATAAAATATTAATTAAATTAAAATAAAACACACAAATATTTCTGAAAAAAACAGAGCACAGTTTACAACAAAAAAATAATATAAACACATTACAACTATACATATATGTCATACATACAAAAAAATTATATTAATTTTAAAAAGAAATATTATTAAAAAAACAAAAAAATAAACTAAAACATGTTTTTCCTTTATTTTTTTCTTTCACATATCTTTTTCTCCACTTTATTTCCAAAATTAACATTTAAACTTTAAATCATGAAAACAATATGAAATCAAACCTAAATATTTCTTTTAATTATTTTTTCATGCTTCAAAGTCGGGGTTGGTATTCCGGTCGTGATAATTCATGAGCTTATCAAGTTTAAAAATAAATGTTGGGAGGGAAATTGAAAAGTGGGGACTAAATCACAAAGATACAGAAGTTTGAGATCAAAAGTGAAAATTTTAAGAAGTTGATGCTAAAATGAAAACACCAATAAGGTTTGATGGCTTGCTAGGAGATTTAACCATGGTTTGATTGGAAATCGGTTATGTACCCTACTCGAGCCTCCCCCGGGGGCACCCCAGCTCTCCATCTGCCTTCTGGTCGACATGGAGCCGTGCACGCCTTTGCCGGAAATACATAGAACTTGTCCCCAAATAATAATTACTATTATTTCAAAAGATTGTCCATAATAATACTATTTAGATATCAATATTTATTTTTGTTATAACTTCAAGCGACTTCAAAATTGATCGATCTCGGTGAGTGCCTGTTAGGGGTTAGGGAGGTTTATGGCTTGGGTCTTGAGGTTTTGCAGTGGTTTTAAGAGGAGTTAAAGTAGATTTTGTTTTGGGGATTTCCAGCATGATTTGTGCATCTTTCATCCGATGGTTTTAGGTTGACGTTACATGCTTACTTAAGGGTTCTTAGATACATCTCCATAATTTATCAACCTTTGTTGTGCACGTATTTTATATTTAATTATGTTTGACGGTGGAAAGGTTCAATTGTGTATTAACACTAAATGTAAGCTTTCTGGGTTAATAAATGATGAATCATTTTTAAAATCACACCAAATAATTTATATAATATTGATATTTAATCGTGTTATCCAAACATGTCATAATCTTTATTCATTGGTATATAAAACAAAAGAAAGGTCAGCGCTGCAGTCCAAATGATTGGGGTTTCATGGTAATGAAATTCACGAGGGAATTGGCCACCTGTTGCCGCAAACAAACACCAATGGGTGTGATGTAGATTTAGGCCGACATGAACTACGTCCTAATTAACAACTAATGATTTTCCATTTATTGGACTGCTCATCTTTCATCAATTAAATTAATAACACAGTTTTTAGAATCCATTTGACGCTCAAACCAATCAGATTAGGAATCGTGTTCGGATAATCTATTCGCTAGTAAAAGTTGAATGTCATGTTTCAAGTTGTATCTTCACGTTTTGATCTCAAAATTAGTGCAGGAAGAAACTTCTGTGTATTTTGATTTTGATTTTTCTTCTGATAAATAATTAATGACACAATATTTTTTATATTAGTGTTTGAATTACTATCGTCTAGAAATTCTGAATTTATATGTCCCTTATCTTTGATCTAAAAGATTGAAATTACCACATCGTTAAGTTAAAAAGTGGATTTTTATTTGATTTGTTATGATAAATTTTAGATTTGATTATCGTAATGAAAATATTTGCACATCTTAGTTTTAACTTGTTTTTTATGTATAAGAAATTAGATTTTTAAAAATAAAAAAGGTAATATACGTAAAAAATAATATAACTACAACATAAAAATTCAAATCTTCTCTTAAATAGATGTTTCATATTATTAAAAAAATATAGTAATTAGTTATAATTCACTATCTCTATTTAAAATTAGATGCAATTTTGATGTAGACGTGTAGATTGTTTCGAAAATGATTCAGGGTACATCGACAAACTGTAGTAAAAATAGATCTAATTATAAGATACTGTCGATCTGCCATGAGGTGTTTGTTTTATCTTTTCAAAACCCATCAAATGGTTATGTTGTCCTACATAAGACTTAATCTGCCATGAGGTGTTTGTTTCTTCTTTTCAATCAACCCTTGATGCCCAAATATACCACGTACACCCTTCTTTGCAAACAACTTGCACGCTAACATTGTCATTTCTTTTGAATATGATATCAACCCTATTCTTAATCCAATACTGTCTGACAGCCTCTTTGAACTTCAACTGATCAGCAAAAATCATTCCAACTTTAAAATGTGGGTTTTCCATATCAGTTTCATGGTTAAACTCAGGGCATCTATGTTTTCCTCGATCATCAGAGTCAGACTCAGAATCAGATTCAGATTTATTTTCAGTATGCAATGACTCTACTCCATCAGTTTCATTTTCATCATTCAAAGATGCATCAATATTTCTCTCATCTCTATTGTTTAACCCATTAAAACCTCTTTCAAAATCTACTCCCACATGTACCTCATGTACAAACCCCTCTTCCTCACTCACATCGTTTCCACTGTATTCAAAACCACTAACAGAAGAATCGGTGTCATCAACAACATATTATGTATCTTCTTCAGAGTTTAACTCAGTCCTGAATGTTTCATGAGTTTCATGCATTTCAGTTATAACAATTTAATGAGTTTCAGGTGCATTCTGATATATGGTTTCAGTGGTTTCGTTCGAAAAGTTTGCTTCATTTTCTTCTAAGTACAAATGAATGTGCCTATTTATGGGCTTATCTTCTAACATGATAATGATATCACAATCTGTTCTTAATGACTTAACAGTAAATTTTGGCCTAGATTGTTTCCAAAATAAATGCCACAAACCAGAATAACATAACTCTTCCACAATATCATACATTTCAAGCATTGACATATTGTCCACATGGCACATATCAATAAAAATTGCATCCTTTCTAGTGTATTTAAAACCAAATGAATTTACCATAAAGCCATCATGGTGCATAACAATTAATCATACAAGAAGCAAATTTGATGCAACAACCACCGACCATAAAAAGGTTTAAAAATAGTCAACATCTATCAATATACATTTATATGGATAAACTATTAATTCAATACAGTCATATGCAACAACTTTACATTCATGTGGGAAAACAACAACAATCATATTTAGATCGTATAAAACGCTAAAAACCCAACAAAAAACCCGGAATACCAAAAATCATCCCAACAAAAAAACCCCATAATTATCATATTTTATTACAAACCTAT